ATTTTATTATGATTTACGAGATTTACAACTTTTAATGATTATAGTAACACATTATTTTTTGGACTAAAACAATTTATTTTACTAAATAGAAATTTAGATGAAACGTTAAAAAGCTTTGTTCTTATTTATGTTCTACGTGCGTCCGAGTTGCGGAAGGTGTTTGAGAAACAGTTGCACCTCGTTTTCTGGCAAAACTTTAGTCTTTGTGCTGTATGTAACTCTGGGGGTATAATGCGCGCGATTTAGCAATGCGGGCGAGGAAGGTTTAATTTACTGTAATTGGGTTTTCGCGCGGTTCGGTTGGATTATTTGGTCGTTCTGACCGAAAATCGAACTTACGAGGCTCAGATAAAACCGAAATTAGAATTAAATATGATTTAACAAAAAGAAAATAAATGGTGAAAGAGTTGGGGAATACACCAAAACCTCGATATAACGGATTTTTTAAGTCATACTATTAATATTATCTAGAAATAACACTAGACATAGATCTAGAAAGTTCTAAGTAGTACAAATTCATTACTGAGAAGCTGAAACAGCCATACTGCTGAGGCAAGTTCTAGGATTTCAATAGTAACATAATATTTAGAAACCGAGGCAGTGGCTTCAGTATATAAAATAAAGTAAAGTTTGCTTTAAGTTTCGAAAAGCCAACTTTCCTGGCTTCTATGATAAACTGCTTTATACGGATTGGTCTTTTCTAAATGCCCAGGTTAATGCGGATGATGCTTTGCGAACTTTCTATACAAAGTTGTATGATATTTTGGATTTATTTGTTCCTAAGAGATTGTGTCGTACCTTATTTGGTACACTCCAGAAATGAAGTTAGTTTTACACGCAAGCTTTACAATAAAGGATTTGGGAGTTACTTTTCACCGCAAATTGTCTTTTGTACGTCACATTGAAGATATTGCATCTTCTGCAGAGAGGATGCTTGGTTTGCGTTTTGTGCATCTTGCTTTTTCTGACATCAGTGTGTACAACTCCCTCTTTTTGACCTTTGTACTGTCAGAAATGGAATATGGTTTTGTACTATATTGGAAAGAATTTATAGGATTTCTCTAATATTTGTCTCTTCGCTTGGATGGATCATACTCGGATCTTGGAACGGATTATGCATCCCTACAACGTCACAACTTTTCTGCACTAGACGTGAGAAGAGATGACCAGTGTATCAAGTTTTTACAAAAGTTAGTGCAAGGTGAATTGGATTGTGGTTGCTTGTTGTCCCGGATCATCTAAATAGTGTTAGTTTTAACTGCTATTCAGCGCTAGATTGCTGTACATTTTTATTGAATTAAAAGTGAAACTAACACTAAACCTAGAACTAGAATCATTCATCTGTTACGGCGATTTTTAATGATATATACCCGGTTTTAACGATATTAAACGAGTTCTGACAATATCTATTAGTAGATTATAATTTTGAATAATATCAATCAGTTTTACGACAACTTAAAATGATATTTACCACGTTTTAACAATTTTTAATGATATGGATCAATTTCGCATAGAATTTTAGTGATATCTATTAATAATACTGCGATTTTGAATACCAAATTTAAATTTGATGCTAATTTCAAATGATATTAACAAGTTTTTACCGTGTAGAACAATAATTATCACTTTTACTGCGATTTTAAATGATATATATCCAGTTTGGACGATCTTAAACAAAATCAATCACATTGATGTCGAGTTCTGATAATATCTATCACTACATTATCATTTTGAATGATATCGATCGGTTTTTTGATAACTTGAAATGATATTTGTCATGTTTTAACTGTTTCTAATGATATGGATTAATTTCGCACAGAATTTTAGTGATATCTATTAATAATACTGTGATTTTGAATACCAAATATTAATTTGACGCCAAATTCGAATGATATTAACAAGTTTCTACCATGTGGAAGGATATTTACCACTTTTGCGGCGATTTTAAATGATATATATCTTATTTTGACGATATTAAATGAAATTAATCACATTGATTTCCAGCTCTAATCATATATATTAGTTATATTACTATTTTGAATAATCTTAATCGGTTTTATGGCGATTTAAAATGATATATATCATATTTTAACAATTCTCTAATGATATAGACATAGAGTTTTAGCGACATCTATTAATATTACTGCGATTTTGTATATTAAACATCAATTAGGTGCCAATTTAAAGCGATATCAACAAATTTCTACCATATAAAACGATATTTATCATTTTTATGACGATTTTAAATGATATATATTCGATTTTGGCGATATTAAACGAAATCAATCATATTGATTTCGAGTTCTAATCATATCTATTGGTTATATTATTATTTTGAATAATCTTAATCGGTTTTATGGCGATTTAAAATGATATGTATCATATTTTAACAATTCTCAATGATATAGACATAGAGTTTTAGCGACATCTATTAATATTACTGCGATTTTGTATATTAAACATCAATTAGGTACCAATTTAAAGCGATATCAACAAATTTCTACCATATAAAATGATATTTATCATTTTTATGACGATTTAAATGATATATATTCGACTTTGGAGATATTAAACGAAATTAATCACATTGATTTCGAGTTCTGATCATATCTATTAGTTATATTACCATTTTGAATAATATCAATCGGTTTTATGACGATTTAAAATGATATTTATCATATTTTAACAATTCTCTAATGATATAGACATAGAGTTTTAGCGACATCTATTAATATTACTGCGATTTTGTATATTAAACATCAATTAGGTGCCAATTTAAAGCGATATCAACAAATTTCTACCAAATAAAACGATATTTATCATTTTTATGACGATTTTAAATGATATATATCCGATTTTGGCGATATTAAACAAAATCGATCACATTAATGTCGAGTTCTGATCATATCTATTAGCTATATCACTATTTTGAACAATATAAATCCGTTTTATGACAACTTAAAATGATATCTATTATGTTTAACGATGATATGCATTAGTTTTATAGAATATTAGCGATATTTGTTAATAATAATGCGATTTTGAATAATAACTATTGTGTGGTGGCGATTTGAAATGATATCATCAAAATTCTGTTATGTGAAATGATATTAATCATTATTATGGTGATTTAAAACGATATATATCCTGTTTCGACTACATCAAATGCTTTTTATCAGTTATATGATGACTTAAAATGATATCTATCATGTTTTGACGATTTTACAATGATATGAATCGTTTGTACGACAATTTTCAGCGATATTTATTACGATTCGGAATACTAAACATCAGTTTGGTGGCGATTTAAAATGATTTTAACAAGTTTCTATCATGAGATTTAATATACAGGGTGTTTAGAAATTGGCGGATAATGTACGCGTAGTTAAATGTGTTTTTCATGAAGATATGATAATAAAAAAATGTTAAAAACGAACTTTAAAGCTAAAAAATAAACTTTAACAAAAAAGGCAGTTTTCAAAACTCTTTTTATTCTCTATTTATCAACAGATATTGAATATTAATGATTATTTATGGATAAATTATCCGAACTTTGAGAGCCTCATGAAGACACTACGTGTACATTATCCGCCAATTTCTAAACAGCCTGTATATAATCTTTACCGCGATTTAAAACGATATTCAATTCAGTTTTGACTACATGAAATGCTATTAATCAGTTTGATGTAGAGTTAATGATATCTATTAGTAGAATTAAAAATCGTACTTGACTACTTAAAATGATATCTATCACGTTTTGATGCTTTCCAATGATATTAATTGTTTTTAAGACGATTTTCAGTAATATGTGTTAATTATATTGCGATAATGCTGCCTCGGTTTCTACATAATATGTTATTATTAAAAATCTTGATCTACTGCCTCGGCAGCATGGCTGCCTCGGCTTCTAAATAATATTTGCATTAAAGAAAACTTTACTTTATTAAGTAATACAGCCTCTGCCTCGGTTCTAAACAATATGTTATTATAGAAAAGTTAGGACTATTGCCTCGGCTGCCTCGGTTAAGTCTAAAACCCCCGTTTTACAATACATCAAATTTTTATTCGAAACTCTTATTACGTATGCAATTTTCTTTTGGAATGGACCATAATTCACATCGTCAGTCCAAAACAGAAGCCCTTATATTAATTTAGCGTGCGACATCTGTTCAGGTTTTCCGATTTAGACGAGAATATACAGTGTGACTTATCGCTTTAGAGAACACGTCAAAACAAGCCGTAAATCGCGGGACGGCGTTTGTCCGTCTCGTCGAGAATTTTCGTTCTCTCTCGAATTTTCGTTAAGATTTATCGAGGAAAATTCCGCGAAAACTCTTGTGTTGTTGGAATTTACCCAACTATAAGCGGAACGATATTGCGTTTTTGAAGTTGTTTCGATTTACGAAAACTTCGCTTTACCAAGTTTTGTTTTTTTTTTCTTTTCGTCGTTTTTTTTACAAGTTTTAGCTGAAATTTTCGCCCTGAAATTTGCTCCTTCAGTTTTCACGCCACGTCCTTTAATAGTTCCACACCTCGAGCACTGAATTCATAATTTCCTTCAGTTTTTTTTTTTTTATTTTATTTTTTATTTCTTATGAAGAGGTCGGCGAAGTCTGGAAGACTTTTTTTTTATCATAAATTTTATGGTCTCAAAACTTTGGGTTATATGCAAATTTTTTTTTAGTTCTTTTAATTTAAACTTAAATATTTACTAAAAATAAAATAACAAAACGTGATGAATTTCGATTTTTTCACGCGTAAAAATTGAATCCAATTTCGAGTTGAGCAAACAGAGCTTTCATCTTGCACCTGGGGGTTCTCTTTTGTAAACAAACCGGCCGCTAGGGGTTGACTATTCAAATTGAAACTATCTTTGAACTAGACTCGCCTTAAACGATAATAAAATGACGATCTTGTTAAATTTGTGATATCATTTGTTAAGTAAAAGAAAACAAAAATTGAAAGGCGAGATTACGGGTTGAAATTGGAACATAACTTACCTTTCGAAGTCGTAGACATTGCGCGAGGGATTCCTGGAAAAAAGGAAAAAAAATCGTTAAGCGAGACGTTAAAAAAAGACCTGGAATTGTATAGTGGGTTAGTTGAATGGATTAATCAGGGTTTCGAAGGGATGTTTTATCGGATCTTTTCGATTAAATTAAAAGGAAAAGGGATACAAGTCTTCGTTGTTGATTTAAAAAAAGGAAATAGCCAGATTTTGCAAATTCTAAAATAATTTTAATTGATTTTGATTAAGAAAGAGGATGAGTTTGTGATCAATTTTATGTAGAACTTTCAAGCGAGCTGTTATTTATATCTATCAGTCTAAAAATGATTGACAGCTTTTCGTTTTTAAATGATATCGATTAGCTTCACGTAGAGCTTTATGGCGTCTATTAGTTACAATGCCATTTTGAATAATATCTCAGAATTTTAATGTACTTTTTTAATGTGTAATACTTAATATCAATTTGGTACCAATTTAAAATAATGTCAACAAATTTGCTACCATGTAGAGCGATATTTTTAGCGATTTTAAATGATATATATCCAATTTTGATGATACTCATTTATATACTCATATCTATCAGTATATTATCATTTTGAATAATATCAATCGGTTTTATGACAACTTAAAATGATATCTATTATGTTTAACGATGATTTGGATTAGTTTCACAGAGAGTTTTAGTGATATCTGTTAATAATACTGCGATTTTTAATACTAAATATCAATTTGACGTCAATTTCAAATGGTATTAACAATTTTCTAACGTGTGGAACGATATTTATCACTGTTAGGGCGATTTTAAATGATATCCATCCGATTTTGATGTTATTAAATCAAATCAATTAGTTTGATGTTGAGTTCTGATCATATCTATTACTTACATTACCATTTTAAATAATATCAATCGGTTTTATGGCGATATAAAATGATATCTATCTATGATAGAGTTTTGCGACATTTATTAATATTAATATCAATTAGGTGCCAATTTAAAGCGATATCAACAAGTTTCTATCAAGTAAAACGATATTTATCATTTTTATGACGATTTTAAATGATATATATCCGATTTTGGCGATATTAAACGATATCAATGACATTGATTTCGAGTTCTGATCATATCTATTAGTTGTATTACTATTTTGAATAATATCAATCGGTTTTATGACGATTTAAAATGATATCAATCATATTTTAACGATTTTCAATGATATAGACAGAGTTTTAGTGATATCTATTAATATTACTGAGATTTTGTATATTAAATATCAATTAGGTGCCAATTTAAAGCGATATCAACAAGTTTCTACCATATAAAACGATATTTATCATTTTTATGACGATTTTAATGATTCTAGTCCTAGGTCTTGTGTTAGTTCTACTGATAGTGTTAGTGTAAAACTAGAACTAACACTAGACCTAGAACTAGAAGCATTCGAGTTTAGCCGCACGTCTCTTAAGACGGCTAAACCCGAATGATTCTAGTTCTAAGTCTTATGTTAGTTCTAGTGATAGTGTTAGTGTAAAACTAGAACTAGAAGCATTCGGGTTTAGCCACACGTCTCTCAAGACGGCTAAACCCGAATGATTCTAATTCTAGGTCTTGTGTTATTTCTAGTGATAGTGTTAGTGTAAAACTAGAACTAACACTAGACCTAGAAATAGAAGCATTCGGGTTTAGCCACACGTCTCTCAAGACGGCTAAACCCGAATGATTCTAGTTCTAGGTCTAGTGTTAGTTCTAGTTTTAGTTCAACAAAAATATGCAACATAGTGATATCTTATCTTAACTAGCGCTATCTACCACTGTCACTACAACTAACATTAATCCTAGAACAAGAAACATTCAGACATGTTACATTTTATAGATAGCATTTTAAGTAAAATTCGCCGTATATTGATCATTATTATTATAATAATCAAAATGATAGAATTTAAAAGAACTTAACAGAATTCCATTACAATTGAGTGGCGATTATTAAACGGAGTGTCGGGATTAATTTCCAACCCCTAATCCCAACAATATTCGGATCAGTAGGTTATCAAAACCGATTCGACGTTGAACAATGAACGCATTGATTTGGTGATTTGGAGATCCATTGTAAACTCGGGGAATCGCATTGATTTAGGCTCTGTTTAGCTTTGGGAGCGGAGGCTCTAAATACTCGGGATAAACACGATATTACGGTTCATCTTAGATGGAGATGGATCGACGAAAACTAACTAGAACTAGAAACGATTTCCCGCCGGAAGGAGTTCTTTTCGGAGCGAGATTTTAATTTAAAAGGGGGTTTTAATTAGTGCAGTTTATGGGCGACGTCGATTTACCTTTTGCGCGGCTTGCACTTGAAGGAAACAAAAGGGATAGGGAGCTTAGAATCGGGTTTTAATTAAAAATCGCTTTGTACCTTGCTAAGGTTAAATTTAACGAAGACGAAAACGTTTTTTTTTCGTCTCCAAGAATTCGAAATAAATTTAAAAAAACGTTAAATACTTACCATCGGCTATCGTTGTTGTTAAAAAAGTCGATAAAATGAGAATAATCTTCACCATCTGTAACAAAAAATAAATTACTAAACGTATAAAAAAATAAAGAGTTGGTTAAAGAAATTAAAGTCCAACGGATGGTGGTGAAATCCCTTAAATCCCCAAGTGGTTGTCGAAAGAAGCAAAAAAGAAACATTAAGCTCACTATGAGCGTTGGAAGTTGAAGCTTTTGCTGCGCAATTAAAGCGGACGCCGAGCTTACGTTTTCCCCGCCAAAAAGGATTCTTGCAGCGTATAAGAGGCTTATGGTTTTACGGAAACTCTCTCTGTGTCGCAAAATACCAACGACAACAACTATCATCAACATAAAAACAAAAATCTTTTACGGAGATTATTTAATGCGGTCTCGTAATCACTTTCATTTAATTTTCTCAAATTCACCTTAAACGAATTATAATTATTATTAAAATATTGAGATTTAACAACAATTTCAATTGAAGTTTGACGTTAAAAACGTCAAAATTAATTTTGTGATAATTAATTTACGAAATTACTTGGAGTTAATTCAGTCGTAATTAAAATTAATAATTTTAAAGAATTTTCCATATCTAAAAACAAATTAACTTTTTAATTCGTTGATTAATAATAATTAATTAATAAAAGTTAGCAAAAAGATCGATAGATGGCGGTACACTTCGAATTTTAACGCGATTGGGTCAATTTACATTAATTTATTTGTAAAAATAGATTAATCTAATTAATCGACGACTCAATTAACGGTTATTAATAAACTTTTGTGTATTTAAAAACGAAATATTATAATAAATCTAATCATCTTATTAAAGTAACTAACGTCATTTTGTTTACGGTGCGTTGTGATTGACAGTTTTAAAGTCGTTAAAAATTTTTAAGTTTTAAGCGTAAATATTTGTTTAAATATTACGTTCGGGGATCTATTTATATATTTAAATCTTTGATTATATATAATATGGATTGAGCCAACGGGAGAGATAGCTTGCGCAAGGTGATCACACCGAGATAGACATAGAAGCGTATTGACATATAATGGGCGTGCGTTAATTTATAAGATAAAAAACTATCAATTAGAAGTAACATTTATAATACTTACAGGTGATGTGAAACTGAATTATCGCGAACTTTGCACACGAAACAATACATTTTTAAACATAACGGTGTGACTGGCTGTGACACAACAAAACGATAAACGTCAAATGGAAGAGGTTTGACACTTTTGTGCGCATGCGCCCGTCTGTTTAGTACCGTTTTATGTCTATCTTTGTTACACTTTCACATTATCGCTTTCCATCTGCGTCTATTCACCTTGAGCCACATTTTTGTTAGTAGATATATTCAGTTAGCTCAATCCATATTATATATAATCAAAGATTTAAATAATAATAATTCGCATAATTTATATATAAGTTAAATAATATATAACTTTTGTGTTTGTTTTAAACAACTAACTTCACTTTGTTTTAGGTTTTGCGGCTGTCATTGAGTGATTGACAGTTTTGAATGTGAAGATTTAATTGAAAATATTTCGTTAAATATTACTTCTGGAGAACGGATCCCCTTTTAAATCGCTTCTAGGGGTACTAAGGTAAGTGTAACAACAAGTATTCGATCTCTATATACTTAAAAAATTGTTAAAATTGGGGTTGAATTTTTCAAGAGCATAACCTCAAAATCTATTTTGACGCGAAGATTTGGCATACACTTTAATAGTTACAGTGCCATCTATTGATGATTATGTTGACTTAAATTCGTTAATGAAATTAGTTTTAAATGATTTTATTACAAATTTATTAAATTTTCTTAAACAACTCACTTCACTTTGTTTTAGGTGTTGTAGCTGTCATTGAGTGATTGACATTTTTGAATGTGAAGATTAAATTGGAAATATTTCGTTAAATATTACTTCCTGCGAACGAATCCCTCTCTAAATCGCTTCTATGGGTACTAAAGTAAGTGTAACAACAATTTTTCGATGTCTATGAGATAAAGAATTTGCTAAAATAGAGGTTCAATTTTTAAAGAACATAACCTCGAAATCTATTTTGACGTGAAGTTTTTAATTCATATAAATAATGTTTTTTTAATAAGAAAAGAAATCTTTAAAACATTTTTTTACCTGAAACTTCATGTTTATATTCAACAAAACCCATTGTCCAGAGAAAGAAAAAAGATATGTAGCGTGCAATCGGGGGGAGGAAAAAATTACGCCTCAGCGGTCATATTTCAGCTCGCTCCGGCCAATTTCCCGGCGCACCAGATATAAGGTTTCTTCCGAACTGAACTTAATAGCTACTCCGGAGGGTCGGAAACTGAAAGAGGGGCGCCCTTCGAGTGCACTTATAGTAATCTAGAAGGTTCAAAAACTTTTCAACTCGACGTTTCTATAGTCTAGTTTATGACTCGATTGTATTCAATATAAGAGAAGTTAATAATAAGCAAAAAAAAGTTGCTACTAAAACATCGATGTACGATTTAAATTAACATTGAAATTTCGTAATAAAAATCGATTTTTCACGCTATTTCTAGAGTCGCCGTTACTGTCATGTAGTTGGATAAGCTACCGTTAAGGGACGTTTTGCTCAATGGTCCCGTTAAAACGGTTATTGCGCGGCTCGATTCATGCGGCGAATGTGAAATTACGCGAATAATGTCTTCGTATAAAGGAGCTTTAGAAAAGGGCTTAGTTTTTTTTCGTCGTCTCTCCTAGCTGCTTCCGTTGTACCTTGTACCCCAGGGATAATAGCAAAACATGGGAAATAAAATTAGAGACGATAATTTATTTCACAAAAATGAAATACGAGGTAAAATTACCTTTCCATTTCTTAATGGGGTTCTTTTAGACAAACCCCAGATGTAACGAACGGAAGAGGAAAAACAAAGCGAGGAAAATTTCGAATGCATAAATACACTAAAGCAATTCCGTTAAAATTTGTATCGTTTTAAGAACGTTTTCGGTTAATCCAGAGTTTTTTTAATTAGTTTAGGGGTTAAGAAATGATTTATTTTTGTTACTTAAAGACTCTATTTTAAAATAACACAATAATACGATTGGAAATAGCTCTTAGGTAAGCCTTTATTTGTTGTATAAATAACAACAAGCCTGACAACGCGCCATTAAATCTCTCCTAAAATCATTGCACGGTAAGTTCTTGATTTATCAAGAAAATATGGCAAATTCTGTTGAACATAAAAGATTGTAAAATGGGTATAATGAGAATCATAAAACTCCTTGGGGGAATTTAATGATTTATGGTTCAATCGAAAGCTTGCTTTACGCTGAATATAAATGTCGAAACGTCCGATTCGGAATTCAAACTTGATCAAATACTTTTACTCTCAAGACGATTAAAAAGCCCTCCGGGATTTTCGAGCTTTCGTAATAATCATTGTTGTAATTTGCGGTTGTTTTAGGATATTCTCTTCTTGTTAAATCGTCTCACTTAAGGTTATCGTTCCACCATTTCCATGCGAAGCGGGTGTTTTTCGATGTGAGGGAGCTGTTACAAGTCGAAATAATACAAGTAGAATGTTTTTCATTCACTTCTCTTGCAAAGTTGTTCTAAAGTGCTCCAAACAGATCCTATTAAGTTCCTGTTAATACTGCGTTATGCAAAGTTTCAAATATCGGTAATGTTATGATGAATTATTAATTCTTCATTTCTTCAGAGTTCAAAGAAAAAAGTCTGAAAAAATACGTACAAAATAGAACGCAGAAGAACAGAACAAACTACATTGAGAAAGGAATTAAAGCAAAAAGTATAATAAAGAAAGAGAAGGAATTCTGGAATCCTGGAGAGAACAGTATACAAACACGAAAAGATGGATAAAACAGCAGGAACAGGAAGACATAGACCAAGTACAAACACAATTATACTATAATATACATACTATAATGAAAGAGGAAATAGAGGGAAGATAGAATAATATCCGAAATGCTCAAGAAGGTAGGAACAATGGTTACCAACCACCTGGCTAACAAAAATTTCGATGGAATTGACCCATAAAACATATCCAATAAGTTATATTGATCCATCGATCAGTAGTACCAACCCAACTTAAGAAAAATAGAAATTTTGACGTTTTCAACAATTTTCCTCTATAACTCAATAATTATAACCGATGGAAAAAAATATTTCTTACAAAAAAGGTTTAGAATTAACCCATAAAATATATCCAATTAATTATTTTAATCCATCGATCAGTAGTACCAACCCACCCCAAGAAAAATAGAAATTTTGTTGATTTCAGTATTTAATGAATGATACCGGCATTCAGAAAATGATTCTAGCATCAAGTTGCAGGGTAGAATGTTCATAACGATTAGTTCCAGTATTCAGAAGTAAAATGCTGCATCCGAAGTAATTACTTTCAGCACTCGGTGGTTGATTTCAGCATCTAATGACTGATTTCAGTATACAGGGGATGATCCTAACATCCAGTTGTTAGGTGCAAAGTCCAAAGCGATTAATTCCAGTATTCAGAAGTTAGATAGAGTATTCTTAGTACTTATTTCCAGTACTCAGTGGTTGATTCCAGTATACAGGAGATGATATAACATATAGTTATTAGGTGCGATTGTATTCAAAAGTTCAGCTCAGTACACATAGTAATAACATCTATTGTTCTGAGGTTGATTCCAGTATCTAGTGTATAATTCTAGAACCAAGATATTGATTTGTTCCAAATCATCGAAACGTTTAGGAATGCCTTTCCATCACTATTGGTAATCAAGCATTAGCAGTAACGTAACGTGATGTAAGACTATACTTTGATCATATTTGCTTATAAAGGTTTATGGCTTCTTGTAAGCGATTTTAACAGTTTCTTAGGATCCAAACTTAGGAATTGTAGCGTAAGTGACAAGTTTATAATAAGAATGAAAATTCAAAATATAACTTTGGAACACCAATAACTAATGTCAAAACACGCAATAGAAAGAAATACACAGATTAATACGCATAGTTATTATTAAAATATTACAAAATATCATTTTGTGATTTAGCAAATTGTGCTAATATACCAAACGGCAT